GCTAAATATTTGTGCTTGTCTTCTATTTTACCGTGATGTGAAGGTTTATCATTTTTCTTTGAGGTTACTCTTTGATTTATAATTTCCTCCTGAGTTTAGAACAGTCTATTTTATCTTACAATTCTCTTGACTTCCTCATCATTTGTAAGTTCTGTAACTATTTTCTCACCCTTTTTGATTTGTAGTTGTCCTCATTTGCCAATTGATGTCTATGGTTCCCTGTTTACATTCCTGTAAGCTTATTTTACTTTGGATACTTCCATAACTGGATTGGTTTCTAGGTTATGTCATCATGTGTGTTAATGGTCAGTTGTTTGCTGCTGTTGGTTCTCTGTCAAAAGGACTCCCTTTAGCATCTCTTGTAAGGCTTGTCTGGTTTTATCAAACTCCCTTAATTTTTGCTTATCCTAATTTCCTAATTTCACCATCCTATTTGAGGGAAAATTTTGGTGGGTATATAATTCTTGATTGGAATTTTTTGTCTTTCAGAGTTTTATATAGATCATCCCATTGTGTTCTGTTTACCTCGTGCCACTCTGATAGGAATATACCACAAATGGGATGGCTTGAACAAACAGGAGTTTATTCTCTTACAGTTTGGAGGCTTTAAGTCCAAGTTCAAAGTGCCAGGCTCTAGAGACTGTGTGAAAGCCCCTCAACCTTTGGCTTCAGCTCTGCCTCTTGCTCCCAGCCCACTGAAGCTAGAGGCATCTCTTCACTCAGGCAGCTACTGCCTGCTGAGGCTAATAAGCCCAAGGTTGACAAATAAAATGGCACAGTGCTGATGTTACCAAGCCACACGGCAGGGTATTAATTTAAGTCCATTGTAAGTCCCAAGGTTGGCAGAGCATGGCAGGCTGCCAAACAATGACATAGCTACATGCAGAGTTCAAGTGTGCCATAAGCTAGAGACCATTCCCCAAGGCTTCTCCTTATATTGCAGGAAGTAGACCACATCCCTAAGGCAGTTACTCAGCTGCTCACACTAGATTTCAGCATGGAGTTGATTACCAGTCTCATCATGGGCTAGTTGCCCATTCAACCAGGCCCGGCCACATTGACACAAAAACTGAACTACCACAGCTGCTAACTAAAAGGTTAGTGGTTTGAACTTACCAGCTTCTCCATTAAAGAAAAATAAGGAAGTCTGCTTCTGTAAAGATTTACAGCCTTGGAAACCCAACGGAGGTTGCTATTAGTCAGAACTGACTGATGACAGTGAGTATGATTTTGGTTACTATGTTAAAAGTACCAGATATGCTATATGAACATATATGAAAGAAATAATTTATTTACATTATTTGAAAAATATTCCCAAGCTTTCTGATTTTATGGCTCTTAATCATGTTCAAATACACAAGACAAAATGAAAAAAATCACAAATGTGTTCACAAACCATTATCTGTGCATGGGATAGAGGAAAAAATAACTATGCATTCTCTCTCTATACATGAGGTAGAGACATCATTTCAGAATCTTGGAGTATACAGCATTTTCAGTATTAGGTCTCTTAGCATTTGATTTAACAGCCAGTCCGTTCTCAGATTCCCTTTCAGGCCTCGGAAACAGGGATGAGTTGGTTTGGAAACCTGCCTCTTCTCTTGGAAACACCCATGGATATACCTTATTGCTCCAGAAATTGGCCCAAGAAACATAGCAAGTTAATTTTTAGTTCTGTTTTCATGAATAGATGACCCTTGACAATACATTGAAGAAGAAACTAGTAATTAAGCTGAAAATACCCAGTCAAATACTGCTTAGTTAAAGATATTTTGAATCAAGCCATGATCCTTGGCTTTGACATGAACTAAGTAAATTTAGAATTTGCTATCTTTCCTTGTCTCTCAATCAGCCAAGCACACTCTCATATCCAATCTGAAGAATGCTTATGAGAAAGGTGACAGACAAGGGGTTGACCATTTTCAGCAGGAGACCAGCTACAAGTTGGCTTTGCCCAACAAAAGATAATGGTTACTTTTAGCTCTTCCCCTCATGTTGCTTTTCAACCTGCAACTTTCACTAATCAGGGATTCTGAAAAGAGAAAATTATGATCAGTGAAGGCATAAGGATATACCCTAGCTAATGATACTAGGTGCTAATTTGTCTCATTTGCCTAAAGACATTTAAATGTCATTGGAGCTGTTTTGTTGAGTAATTTGTGCATACTTTAAAATCATTCCAAATGTATTATTTGCTTACTTAAGCTAATTACCTCAAATTTAATTAGATGCCATGATCCTGGCTCACCCACCTTTTCAGTGATACATTTTTCCTAATGAGTAGAAAAATCTTTGACAGTCTGAGAAGTAAAATCAGATTATTGGGTTCAACTGATGTCACAGATTTATTATGCCACAATGTTTTCAGAAAGGAGGAGACCATGAGGTTCAGTTAGGAATGTCCATTCACTTAGTGTCCAACTCTTACAATGTTTTTCTCCTGCTGCTTAACTCTTTCTGAAGTGCCCAAACTTCCATTTCCTCAAGGGAAAGATTTTCCTCAGCTTCCTTTTGGCCTACTTCATCACTTGTCTTCACTTCACATGTTCTCATTTTTGAACTTCTTATTCTCTGTGGACCAGGTTTTTGACATCCATCTTCTAATAATCAGAATGTTATATATCTTAGAATTCCTCATATCATAATCTGCTCACATTCCTTACTTTTGCTAAAGGAAACACATGGGTGGACCAAAGGCATCATATGGCCATTATTTTCTTTTCCTCTTTTCATGTAACTGCAAGTCTCATTTTCCTAATCCCTTTACAATACCTCAGTAGAACGTTTTTAGCTTCTATCTACTCCATTTTTAAAAAATGCTCACAATGTCATTTATTGTGAAACAATTACCAAGTCCCTATAGCTATTAAAAACATAGAATAGAACCCTCCTCCCCAGAATTATTTGGATAAATTTTCTAACACTCAGCTTTTTCTGGCCTACACAGTTCACAGAATATGTTCATGCTTTAAGGTTGTTGTTGTTGTTATTTGCCATCGAGTCGGCCCTGACTCATCGCGACCCCTCCTTGGATTTCCGAGGCAGTATCACTACGGAAGTAGGATTGCCCAACCTTCCTTCTGAGGAGTGGCTGGTGGGTTTGAACCGCCAGCCTTCTGGTGAGCAGTCAAGTGCCTTAGGCACTATGCTACCAGGGCTCCTGCTTTAAGGTTAATGGATGGCTTATGTCTTCAGGAATTCATTGCTTAATTATTTGGACAGGGAGGCCACAGGCAAGGCACAAATACTGAGCACAGTGGCAAATGTTACATGATCAAAAATCTGTATATATAAAAAATGGAATAAAACCAAAAACCAAACTCACTGCCATCAGGTTGGGTCTGACTTATCGTGACCCCTCCTTGGGTTTCTGAGGCAGTATCATTACAGAAGTAGATTGCCCAACCTTCTTTCTGAGAAATGGCTGGTGGGGTTGAACCGCCAGTCCTCTGGTTAGCAGTCAAAATGCCTTAGGCACTACGCTACCAGAGCTCCCAAAATATGGAATATGGAGTCTTATTTTTTTTTTTGGAAAAAAAAAGTTTAAGAGCATGTTAAATATCTGGCAAGCCCTTCCAGGATCCTCACTGGGTACTGAACTACTTTAATAAAATCTCATCTTTCACAGAGAAAGATTCAGAGGTGCTATCATTAGCCTTTGCTATAATTCTTCTGTTAGCTCCAAGGATTTAAAATACAAAATCTGCAATCTTTCTTATGGGTTCAACCTGATACAGATCGGTGCCATTCAGAACTACACAGCTTTCCTAGAACAACACTCAATTGGAAGTAAGTAAATGTCAATGATTAATTTACTAGGCTCATCCTAAGCATCTGGTAGTACCTTCTGAATAATGGCAGTAAGTGGTGTGTGCATCCAGGTGGTTGGGTGTCTTTTCATCCGCAAGATTCAGAAGATAGTTTTGAAAGGAGGCTGAGGAAGAAGGGCTTAGAGGGACCCTTTTCCCCATGCTTGCTGTAAGGCCCAGCAATCTAAGCATTTTGAAGAGTTAAACTGGGAGAGGGGAGGGGCAGTTTGGAGCCAAGGCTGTGTATGAACATAGTCATTAAGATTTTATTTTTATGTTATTTAACTGCTTTCTTTCATAATCCCTCCCTTTTCCAGATGCCAGAATCATCACATACCCATTCCCAGTAGTAATATGCCTGTGAAATTAGGAAGATCGACGGTGTGGCGATTGCACCTGGAGTCAGACTGCCAGGTAAGGTAATTCCAACCCCCTCACTCATTAGGCCTTGATTGGCTATTAATGCTCCCTAAAATGTCCTAAGGCGGGCACAGCCTGGCTTTTTCCCCGTCTTTGCTGCTCAATCAGTCTTGCCGCCTCTCTACACTCCCGAGTTCTGGATCCTGAGTTGAGAAGCCTCGATATGCAGATACATAATAACGATTTCCTAAACTCACAGCTACTTAGCTGGTGATTTGGTTATCAGACATATTTATTGAAGACTGACTTGATGCCGGACGGTGAGAATTCAGCGGAAAATCGGACGATCAAAGTTTCTGTCCTTCACATTCTGGTAGAATTAAAAGTTGTTTCCCACATCCATGCTGTGCCCATCATCAGCTCTGCCCAGGGTGAGGAGCCCTGAGTGTTGTAAGCTTACTTTTCAGGCAAAGGAGAACACAGCTTCCCGGGGGGGGGGGGGCGGGGGGGGCGCAGGGGGCCATTTAAGCAGTCCGCGGACAACATTTGAAAGAAGTCGCCCAGTAGCAAAGGAAAGAAGGGTGCTTCTCGAGGTAGCGCCTATTAGGGTTAATACGGCGGATTCAGGGTTCTAGCCTGAAGCTGAAACTTCTAGCCAAACAAACTCTGAGATCACACCCCCAACCCTTCTCCTCCCCGCCGACCAGTAGCTGCAGCAGTCACCGCTGCCCTAGGCGAAGGCTATGGGAGGCTGGGGGCTCGGAGGAGGTGGGCTATGCTTACATTCCCACTCTCTGCGACTCCTTCCTCGGTCAGCCCCATCTGTTTAATATGGGCTATGCCCTGGAGCGCTTTGCCGAAACCGTGGACTCGGATTTAGAGTGCAAGCTGTGCGGTCAGGTGCTGGAGGAGCCCCTGTGCACGCCCTGCGGGCACGTCTTCTGCGCCAGCTGCCTGCTGCCCTGGGCGGCGCGGTGGCGCCGGTGCCCGCTGCAGTGCCAGCCTGTGGCGCCCAACGAGCTGCACCGGGTGCTGCCGCTGCGCAGCCTCATCCAGAAGCTGCGCATCCAGTGCGACTACCGAGTCCGCGGCTGTGGCCTCACGGTTCGGCTGCACGAGCTGGCGGCGCACGTCGAGCGCTGCGACTACGGCCCGGACAGCCGCCGCCGCCGCTCGGGCTGT